GTAAAGGACAAGGAATGGCTTGAAGAACAAAGTCAACTGATAACAAAAAAGCATTTTAGGTTTTTGCCCATGCGGTATCTCGACGACCATACAACGTCTATGCGTACCTGGGTCTGCTACGTATCGTTAGTGACTGTTTGTCGAAAGCCCTAAACTTATACAAAACTGTCCACGAATGTTCTAAATCGTTGCCACCGCCATATTGCACTCGACTTCAAGGTCGTGCTCGACATATGTACGAAGAGCACCGGACGTAAAGCCGGGGACTGCTACTCAGGAAAGTAGGTGTAAAACCGATTTGTGCTGCTGATGCCGCCGTCATCGCTGCTGCAGCCCAACTGAGACTTTACGCTTGTTTCATCCACCGTTCACTTGTCGGCCACTGTTTGTTTGTCAGTGCCATTTCCAGCCTCTCAAAGCCAGGACACGCTCTGAGCTGCCTGTCAAAGTGGAGCTGCGGCAATGCAGCAGTATCAACGATAGGAAAAGCGCAGACGTAACGCCCTGTTATGTCGACCCTCTATTTATTGAGACTAGTAGTTTTTCCGAATTGACGATCGTACGTTGAAACGAACTCAATGATGAGAAAAGAAGCCAAAGCAAAGCAACCGTGCATCCGTGTGTCGTCGTTCATATTAATACAACTATGTAGCACACACATCTAGTATCGCTGACGTCGTTTCGATCAAATGGAATGACAACAGAAGACCGGGATCTGTTTGTGCTGTTACTGGTACATCTACGGCTGTTGTTCACAGTACTCTTGCCTGGTCCACTTCACTTGTCATGCGGCAAAACAAGCCTTTTGCGTATTTGCCAACACAAATGTCGACAGCCTCGCCGATGGAATCCGTCTCAAAACATGTCTTTAGGTTTGGTAGGAACCGCCACCGCAACGCCAGCAACAACAACGCCAATAGCAGTAACACATTTCACTTTTCGCCAGCTGACAGCGGTAGCGATTGCAGTACTGTTTTGCATTGCTGCCTTCTATTCGTTCGTTCTCGCCTATCGCCTCTGCTTGCTCCTTTTCTGTAGCTTTCTCTTCGTGTACGTGAGAGGGATACCATGGACTGTCCGCGAGTCCCTGAACGCGGGCGCTCTCTCTCCCGACATGGAGCTGCTTTCGGTAGACAGGAGTTTTCGGCCGAAGATCGAGCAGGTACATGAGCAATGCGAAAAGTCACAACGAGTACAAGGCAAAGAGAGAGAAGGCGCGACCCTCAGTGCCGCTAGCGGCACGGAAAGCGTTACAACATAGAGAAGTATCATTATATGTTGCTGCTCTCTTGATAGGTGTTCAGGGTCACCGACTTGCTCCGTTTTCCTGTGGGAATTCGTGGCCTGCTTAGGACTGCCTACTTAGCCATCCTTCTTATGTCATCGTAAAGCGGGAGCAACACTCCAGCTAGTGGTGATAGTGGCAGTAAAAGCAACCAATGCCGATCGACGCTTCCAGCTATGCACCTCCACAACGGTTCTTTCAGGTAGTAGCGGCCACGGCAACGATTTCGCTTACTGCTGCGTCTGCTGCTGCTGTTATCCCCTGTTCAGGATGGCTGAGAGGCACAAAAAGCGTCCGTTTGCCTTGCTTCGCTTAAAGAAGCACGTTGTGCAACAGGATGCTTGTCTACCCTTCGACGCCTTGTCTGTCTTCCTCTTTGCCGACGGTGGCAAACACTGCTGTTACTGCAGTAGGCCCCATCCACAAGGGACATCCTCCAGAGAGTATCCGCCGTCTACCATTACTGCTCCTACCAAAAACCCTGTATGGGTAGACAATGGGGTTCGAAGGCCTTATACCATTCGACTACAAAAGAAGACGGCAGCGAGCGAAACGAGGAAACGAAAGAAGTGGAAGCATCGGAACGAAAACGGGAAGCGAAAGACTAACCGGCAGCAGCAACGGAGATGCAGGACCTGCTCCGAAGGTAAGCATATGGCCAAAGACTATTGGGAGACGTCCAGAAGAACGTGGGCCAATAGAGCGCAGTCGGTTATGTTCTGCACACGAATTTCCTTCCTTCGCTGTTCGTCGAGAGCTCCCCTTGTCAGTGCTCACATGCTGTCGTATTTCGCTGGAAATCCTTGATTATAGCGCGCTATGTGCACAGTACTTACGTACGAAATGTTTATCATTTGTACTGTTAGTTAATACACTGTCTTTGAAACGAAATTTTGTCAAGCACTTAGATCTGCAAAAACAATGTGTGTACTATATTTCTATTATTATTTATATTAGTACGATAGCATAAAGTGATCTAATCGTCGTAGGAAATATGATTTAAGAATGTTGAAAGCTTTTCATTAGTCTGTAGTAGAAAACTATACAAATGTATAGCCTAGCTAGATACCGGTGAATTTTTAGAACTCCATAAAAAAAGGGAACAACCAGGCGATGATAACATTGATCTTTCGGTGGTAGGTTGTTTGACAAAGGGTGTTTTTCTTTCTTGGAAGAGCTCCTGATCAAGCCTTCTATTTTACCTACTACAAACTGCCCAGAGGCAGTTGCAGGGCAATGTCGCTTCTAGGTCTACAGTGGCCAAAGCGTCTCTTATTTGTGTAGACTTTCTAAGCCTCAAAGGCATTTAAAATATAGGTCCGCAAAAAATGTTTAGATATAGTATTTACCATTTTTCCTTGTTTTCAGTAATTTTCCCCTTTTCCGAGGAACCGACTGACCACTACGCTGTCTATATGCCCGTATTCTGTGAATTCAGTACATATTTCTTGGTGCCTCTGCAGTCCACGGCGATGTATCTTTACGGAACATTGCTGTCGTCTGTGACCATATATCACCCTGAGCTGTCGCCAAGATAATCACGGAACGTAGCAAAGTGGCTGATGGTGATGGCGGCTGGCCACTTCGTGTGAGCTTCCTGGTCCGAGCAGGAACTAACACGACCTGCGCACGCTGTTATATTGTTGCCAAATCCGCGGGTGTCCGGAGCGGTTGACGATAACAACAATACAATGACTACCGCGATAATAATAGCCGGCGAGCAGATAGCGACAGGAGCTGGAACTACTAATTAGATATCGGCAGGACAATGTTATAGTAAAAAAAATCGATCGAAAGAAAACGAGACCAAAAAAAGGGCAGAGTCGACAAAGAGGTGAGCAACTTTTCGGTGACAGCCACCATTCTATTGTGCTTTTGACGGTTCTTCCACGGCAACGGCGCATTTTTTTCAAATGTGTATTCAAGAGTCTGTGTATGTGTGCCAAGCCGGGCGACAACATAGACAATGAGGATCGAAGATGTACAAACAAAAATAACGGGCGGCTTCCTCGCCAATTTGACAACCCTTGACAAATTATATCTGCTACCCCTAATCTTCCCCTCTGCACTGCCCCCCAACACCGCACCACCAGAAGGATATGAGCTAACTCAAGTGAACATAATGAGGCAACGGAATATATGCATTTGTTTTGCTCGTCACTTCCAAGAATATAGGGAGGAAACCAGAAAAATGCTGACTCTCACTACTAATGCACACGTCGAGCATCATGGGTCTGCCATCACGCCCATTGTCGATGCGACAGGCCGACAGATCCTCTGCGGTCTGTCATTCGGTTTGGCGCCTCTACCCGGGAAAATTCGTGTCGCTTAAGTACCGCATGCGTCCTCTCGATATGGACACAGAGAACAATTCGACATCCGTATTCAGCTTCGTACAGCCCAACGAAAGGAGCGAAATGGTACGCTCGTCGAATGAAGCAGTGACAGGTCGTCTTTACGGAGTGCGCGAGAAGTATAGCTGCTGCCGTCGATCGCGCACCGCAATGATTTCCATTAACTGCGAAGCCTAATGCGTCACGGTAATCGCACGAAGCGACTTCAATTAATAGGTATAGAGGAGTTGCTATTACCGACGGTCACTAAGCATATAGGCAATGCCGGCAAGACATCTGTGCAGCAATGCGTTGTGATTAAGCCAATTAAAAATAATGATATAACACAATTATCAATACAACCAGCAATTTGATGGCGGTGAGTAGTGAATTTAAAAGGGAGCACATAGGTGAATGATATGCCAGAGCTAGATAAATAGTTCCTAGATGAACGTACTGTTGTAAATAAACAGGGATGGTCATTAAAATGTCTGCATTCAAAAGTAGTTTTTTACATGTTTGAAAGCGTGACTATTATAGGATAAAAAGTTTGTTGCCTGTATAATGTAATTGGCACATTTGCATTTGTGGTACTTCATTGGATTTGTAATATTGTCCTCATTACACTATGTTATTAAATGTTGGAAATTTTTGTCTGGTCCTGCCGTTATACGTTGTTCGGAACGGAAGTATCTCTCGACAGTGGTGTAGCAGTTGCATATCTGAAGCCGGATGCGTACACTTGTGTTGCGACCCAGCCATCTGAAGTAACGTTCGACCACAATGCCGGACGTAGAATTAAAATATTTGGTCAATAGCTTTAGATATTGGCAGTGAAGTTTACTTGCAGGCTATGATAGAATAGATAGTCAAATATTAGGTATAATTAAACCGCGCAGTATTTAAAATTTCCCTTTAATATCTTAGGTGATTTTCTACTTTGTCTTAAATTTTCAGAGTCGTACAGCGTTCGGGTGACGAAATTGTAGTCTCTAATGAAATTATTGAATGCTATTAATCCTGTGCCTATCTACCTTGTTTCTAAGAAGAGTTCCACTTAGGAGATTCTTGCCGTCATTGTTGGCCAGGATCAGCGCGTTCAAACGCTGCCCAATGTCGTGATATCAAGCAGACGCAACAGCAGCGAAAACCGCGAAATCGAAGTATAAGTAGTTGTGTGTTGAAGTGACTGGCTGACGTTGCCGGCATTACGCGGCTAGGAACACTGCGTCGATACAGTCTCGTCTCATTCGCTTCGCGTCTCTTTTCTCATCTCAAACCACGATTTGCTACTTCTGCACGGTTGTTCTACAGTTTAACTCAGTAAAGTAGAAATGCTAGTTGTAGTAACTGTGGTAATAGTTATGGGGTGTGATACTCACGAAGTCATCAAGCGGCACCATCACACCGACACCTCACAGCACCCAACAGCGTCTTCATTATCATCAACAGTCTGGTCCTCGTCTTCGACGTCGTCATCGTCAAATGAATCCCTCTTCGCTTCCTCTCTTGAGGTTTCGCTCGCCTAGGCGAAATCGCTACGTTCATCAATGCGTGCCTGTATAAGGCCTCATAGACATACCGGCAAGCCCTGACACATACAGCTTTATTTTATTATTACTATTATTATTCTATTAACCGGCAACATCACCCCCTTCATCACCATCCAAGTAGTTCCACTGATGATTAATGGTATTATTATTGTACGTACTGTAAGCATTACATCCCGCAAGCTTCATATAGGCACAATACCCTGAGCGCAGGGTGAACAGGAGGGAGGATGAGATAATGCAAGCACTTCAGTTACTCACTACCTATGATAGAAAAATACAGGTCTGAATTCAAATTGATGCATGCATACGTGACGCAGATAATAGCAACGCATATATATGAAATACATATACATACAGCCGCTGTGGTTAGCTCAAACTTACTACAGTTGTGAGTTCGTTGATGATATTTTTCTGACTAGATAATGATGACCCATTGATGATATTCAATTAAGTTGTAAAGACCAGGAAATTTAACGATGGAGTCACGGATATTCAAACGATTTGCGTTCTATTCGAGCGAAGTTTCAATTAGATGAAAGTCTGAGCCGGGGGCATTACTGCGTCTACGAAACACCAGTGGGCTAAGAACTTCTTCATTGTTAACATTCTGGTCGTCGGCCGCTCAAATAGGTCTGGCCGTTAGGTTGAGTCCGCCCGGCTAGATTTTAGCTTATACACCTTACCGACGGCACGAAATGCGTTCATTATGAGCTATTTCTGTACTAATTTTAGCTTAGGACTGCCAAAGATACATATGGTCCTTTAAATGTATAGCATCTTGAGGCGAAAACTGAAAATTGGCTGAAAACTGAAAAACATTTTTATATATCAATACTTACTAGAAAGCATAATAATTATAATCGTTATTACACAAATGCTAAGCGAGGAAAATTAAAAGAAAACGTTCTAATCGAACATTAAGACTAGAGAGAAACCCTCATCCAAAATTAAGGGCAAATTAAAAACAAGCAGCGTACACAGGCGTAAAAAATCAATTAGGCCGAACATATTCTTGCTTACTGTAAGGGCCTCATTCCTATAATTCCTAGAATAATCTCTAGCCTGGCTCAACATCGCCAACACGTTCAGGCATATGTTATATAGAACGCATAGAGTATTATAACCAATTTAAAAAATATATAGAAACAATAATCACCATTGTTAATTAGCATCTGCAGTACTAGTAGATTGTGCTATGTCTTGCTCTACCCTAATTTTTAGCCAGCCATCTTACCATCGCCTTGCATATGCATCATCTCCCATTATTTGGTGGGTAAGTGATGATGTTAAGGCAGAAGCCATGGATCTTTGCTATCTTCAGGGCTGCATAGCTGCAAGCCTGCGCAGAGGTCCCGTTTTCCATTAATACCCAGCTTCTCTGTTCACACCTCTGTTACGATGAGCCACTGGATTTTCCGTAAAGTTGGGGAGAAGTGCCTGCGGCGGACGAATGGCCGAGGAACGAGGATGTTCAAGCGGACGTTTGAGCGAGCATCTGCCGAAAGGGCTGAAAAAAAAGGTTAAGTTGAACCAAGCAGCACGCGGAAGGAGACAGTTGAGCACGGCCTGAAAATATGGCAGCAGGAATATCATTAATTTGTCTATTTTCTGCACCTTTCGCCGATGTAAAAAACAAATCGACGCTAGCCCGGGTCTTTTATGTAATAATAAAAAGGGAAACAACGCAGCGATAGCGCTGTAAAAAAGAGGAAAATTGTGAAGCGCAACATAACCTCGTCCCGGTTCTTTGGCTACTATGTGGAAAGACGCACTCTGATCTGCCGAGCTTCGTGGGTATGGGAAAGCTTCACTCATGAGACTTGTGCCCGATTCGGAAAATTCTTTCCCCGAACAGGCAGGGTTTATCAGCAGGTCAAGTGCTTTGAAGCTGCTCTTCCTACTGTTGGCACTACACTAAAGAAGGCAAAAGGGTGAAAAAAGGTTATTTCTGCCAGGTTTTCACCGAGGCGTAGGAAGCCACCGGCCAAAGTTTCGTCGTCCCGTCACGTCGCTGAGACTCTCTGCTGCTTCTCCTTTCGAGTTGATGAAATGTAGCGACAGAGAGGCGAGAGGGACCGACGGAAGGTACGTGCTGCATAGCACTCAATCAAGCAAGCTGAAGCCTCCCACACCGTCGACGCATCCCGCGCCAAGCACCCAGTGACTAGCGCCTAAGTAAGGTAACCCTTTATTTTGCCCATATATAGCCGTGCGCCACCATCGGTCTACCTAGCTAGCTTGAGCGCAGTGGGGAGTACTAATACAACACTTGGAGGACCCTGTCGTACTCCTCCTCTCGGGCTTCGTTTGCTTGCGCGTCCCTTTGGGGAGCAAAGCTAAATCTTAAAACTGACTCCTCGCGACCACGACCGGCTCTATAGCACATTTTGATTTGCATAGCTGCTGTATCCTATCACCACTGCTACTATTATTAAGGCCTTTCGCAACGACAAGAAGACAACCCAGACAGAGTGATGCACCCATAATGTTACCGGTGACAGTTTTAAAGGTTAATTTCTCTGTTTATTAGCACTAGACACTCTGGCGTGGGACAACAATAACAACGGCAGCAACAAAGTTATCTCTGAATCGTGCAGCAACCGACGTAGTCAGAAAAACAAGAAAGAGAGACAACGATTGACAGCTGCAAAGATCTCGTCGAGTAAGCATCGAGATCGCTCGTTCGCGCCTGGGAGCAAACTAAGTGATCCTGCTGCTTCTATCGCCAAAAGCAGGTGCACTAATGCTGTCTAACCAGCTTCAGATTTGGAAATCAATAGAAAAAACCTGAAGAGATTCAGGCCCCTAACGGCCGCTTCTCGTCGTCTTCATTCGCACTTTTGCATGGTGATTTTTGGATTGGTGAAATTTTGGCAGTAGGTTCGAGGTCGACAAGCTGGCAGAAGAAACTTTGTCTCCATGAATCGATTTAGTACCACCAGGAGCATTAAGAGGAGTCCCACGACGACGTGTGCTGTTGGGTTTTGTCTAGTGATGTGAAATATAAAATTCTGCTCAACACACAATTCCACCTATCAAAAGAAAATGACACAAGAAATCCCGGTCTGAATTGTTGGGTCTCCGCTTCACGACACATCCGTATGATCGCCTGTGACCGTCGAGTGTACTCGTCGAGTGCCTGAGACAGTCGATGCGTCGTCCTGATTGTTGCTTATCTTGTTGTCAGTAGATGCATAGGATACGTAAGGTTAAAGGATTGCTATAAATTGATTATACGTCCTTAGAAGAATAGTTCGCCAAGAGACCTCGCATAAATCGAAAGCGGTTTCCTCTCTTCTTCAAGTTCACCACTGGGTATCCGGTAAGTTCGTGCAACTGCTTTAGCGAAAGTTGCTAGGGTCTTGAATTGAACACTTCCTACCTAATTTCAAACGCAAAAGCACTTCATGATTGCCAAATCGGGGATCCATTGTTAGTATGATACACAAAACTAGTTTGTAGGTAATTTAAGGCTGGGCCATAAAAAATGGGCAAAGCAAGAAGTAGCTTGGGTAGCTGTATCACGTGTATTGAATGCATATCTGCTAACTTATTGCTTCAAGTATGTCTTACTCGATATATAATACCCAAATAAACAACTGGATGATGACGTTAGTGCAGAGGCATCTTCTAAAAATACGTTAACAGTATTAACTCAGTCAGGGTGTCGTCAATCGATCTAATTATATCCGTCTTAAAATATTGTAGTCTTTTTTAATCTGCAGTATTTACGTATATATATCATAGCTAGAGATTCATTATACGTTGTTATGTTTTTAATAGTTTCGACCAGACGACCGTATTGTGATAAATTCCTCGACTACGTTCAAGTTCGGCACTATTCGTCAGGAGAAAGTTTATCCTAGAAAACGCATCTTTACGAAGAATCTATGTCTATAGAAAGCCCCTATATTTGGTTGTAAACATGACGATGGCCGTACGTTTACTTTAGGATGAAATGGTCTTCAGTGCGTTCCACCAGTGGGAGTTCGCTAAGCAGCATCGTTTAGAAGTGGGCTCACGTATCCAGTGGTCTACCTGTTATTTAACTTGTAGTGCGAGAGACCATCGTTGCATAGTGGCATCCGAGCTGACCGCGGCCTTTTCGGCATTTTGGTTTTTGCCGATCAAATCACGAGATATTGATCGGCGGACCCCGCAGGTGTTCTTTCATTTGTGCTCTGGTCGAGCACATCGCTAAGCGAGGTGTTTCACATAAATAACTAGCGTGAATCAAACAAGCAACGTAACGGACGGCCGTAAAGGGAGAACGACATAAAAGATGTCTCAATTGGTTAACTGTGTGTTGCTTCACTTAAGCAAGGAAAAAACTGTTCGGGGAGTACTTCGCATCTTTAACAGGCAACAGCTAAATGCAGAGCTATTTAAAAGCCTTCGCGCCTTTATCTACCATCTCCTAGCTATATGACGACGCTAGCTACCCTGCGACTTCCAGTAACAAGGCTTAAAGGACGATTAGTCCGAGGCTGTAGTACTTGTTTTTGTGTTCACAACTTTTATGTGGGTCCGGAGCAGTAGCCCTGCGTCGCAGGTTTGTTACCTGTTTCGCTCAGTTGATAGCTTGATTCCGGTTAAAGCTGCTCCTCTTCGCGCGTTAGTCTCCTTTAGCTATTCAATCTTAATTCTATCTAACAGATATTTGATAATTTATTCTTACTTTACTTGTGCTTACCAGATATAGCCACCGTGATGACCGATTTCAAAGTCTAACCTTATTGCTTACGATTTAATCGATTCTGAAGCCAACTCTGTACGGGTATGCAAAACACTTCTCGCTATACCTGAGCCCTATAAATGCCCATAAACGCGATATGCCTTTTAATAGGCGACTTATAGAAACAAACTTCAGCAAATAGCTATCTGCAGGGCGTAGCATTGAGAAAATTTTAAAAAAGTCTTGTCGTATAAAGTCGTTCGATCCGCCATAACACTGAACGAAATTATGGACTAGTCATTGGAGAAAAGCCTATCGAACATTTAACAATAGAACTTTAATTCATATGTATTCATTGCAGCTACGTTGTCTTGCCTATTCGTTGATATCGCTGTAACTAGCGCTTAATTGCCAATTATATATTGGCCTAGAGTCGGAAATATCAAAAATCTAAAGATTTTCGGCCTACATTAATCCCTTTTCGCGTTCCTCCCCAGTTTCATTCAAACATCTTCATATGTCAAAAAAAAATGCTCCGTCTAGCTATTACGTCACGACTAGTTTAATGGCAAGTTATCATTGATTTCGTCTAGAGTATTCATCACATCCATGGACAACTGGTCCTTTACATAGCCAGCCAGCTTGCCCAGCAAAAATTTGTAACGCTGCTACTTGAACATCTGCGTACCAACTTCATTGCACCTGATTACGTCAAGTTCCATAGGGTATGGAATAGTTCAATAATTATCTATTTCCTTTACGTTCATCTTTCTTGCAAGCACGTTGCAGAGCCGCTGCTTTCGACCGGACGCCATCGATAAAAATTTTATCAAGGCTTTTACGACTTCCTGTGCTTACAACATGACCTACTTCCTTTTGATGTCCTAGTCTCTGTGAATAGTGGATCTGCTTATGTAACCTTGATGCTTAGGGAGTTATGTAGTATATTTCAATGGAAAGGCATACCTGACGCTGGCTGAGGCTGTCCTATCTCCTGCTAAAGTGAATAGACTTGTATTAAAGTTGCAATATGTTTTTTCATCAGAAGGGCAGCGTAGGTTCCTTCGCAGAATTAAAAAGAAAACTTACGTTTTGACGTGAGCACTACCCCGTAGCTAGACCATAAGGCGCAACGGCAGACGCTATTAAGTCCAGTTCGAATTAAATACGGGAACAGAGCCAGGCAGCTAAGATATCGACATTCTCGAGAGCAAATCCATCTATCGACTAACGCAGCTGCCCACACGATCGGTATACAATGAGAAGCCAATCGTAGTCAGTCGCGGAGGCCGTGTGGCAATATCAGTGGTGCCTCGGAAGCAGTAGTACTGTCACGAAAGGGGGCAGCAGTGGCGGTGGGGCCGCTCTCGAATGGGACACGGTAGACTGCGTTACTGTCCCGTTGGGAAGGAACAGCGGCCGCTGGATGGCCCTCTTCGATTACTTCTCGTGATGTTTCGCTCGTTGTGTCTTCCTCCTTCCAGAAGTGACGAGCGACAATCGAGCGCGCGCTTCTCCATTGGATATCCAATCATTAAGAAAGACTGCCGTTACGGGAGCGGAAACCTGCCAGGCAGGGAAGCCAGAATGATTTTCCAATTAGTAACGGCATATAGCAAGCAGCTGTAATATAACTGCTTGCCGAGAAAGCTGGAACAAAGACGACTGTAATAGGGGACGATGTACTCAAGCAATTTTTTTTACCCTATAATGTGAGAAGATCATTTTAAAAGCAGATGCGTATACATACAAAACAATCTAGAAAGCAAAAAAATCTCGAGACCGTGTCATAGGCATTCGATCGGAAGTAAAAGCACAGATAAAATCGTACGGGCGAAAAATTTCTGAGCCCGAATTCTTAATCAAAAGAACTTCTGCAGAAAGCAGTCTTATCACAGATCTTGTAACTATATGTGATTAAATAAGCGTTTTATGAATACGAAAGTATACATTTAATATATTACAGCGAATATTGAACTCTGAAACGTGTCGAAAAATAACAAAACAAACAAATGAGTCGCTGTTTTGAGGGGCATGAGGGGCTGGAGCAGCCCCTTTGAACGCAATGTGGGCTTTTCCGATAGCTCTACAATTTAACAAAACCTTTACGTAATATATGGCCATCGGGAACACCGTACGTTGGGAACGTCAGCACCTGGCGACTGTCTTTACATTTCGTATCACGTCGACACACATATATCCGGAATATGTACATATATAGTCAATTTTTTTTTAGAAGCGATTGGTAATTATTTGCTTAATCCCAAGTAATCTTCTTAATTCTCTTCTAGAGTCATTTAAAACATCTTTAACGCATATACGCACGGTTTGAAACTGTGACGTGACCTTCCGTAGCTTTGCCTTCATGCGCAAAATCCAGAAGATCGATATTTCTGAGTAAAGAATAAATGGTGCTTTCTGCGCTAGAGTTATAGTATTTGTAGGCAGAATATGGCAAATTGTGCGTCAGTAGCATGCATCAAAACCAGGTTCAGCTATTCTTAGTGGAATCTCTTTCTTCGCTGACGTTCGATTGCTTGTAACCAACATTTAAGGTGCCTTGGCTGAACATGGTCAGAATGTTACGAACCCATTCACATAAAAGCCTGTCATATACATACATATATAACATAAAGCCTTAGTTTAAGTATATGTCTGATCAGAGAGCGATCCCTTTTAAAGTTTCAAAATGTTTGCCCTTACCATCGTACGCTGTTGAGCGTACGAGAACGGCAGCAACGGTCCCTTTCCGAATACGTATAACGGTAGTTATTCTTTCAGCTAGCGCCTTCAATTCGGAAGAGACATTTTTATTTAGTCTTTTTTAGCTATTATGCCAGTTGTTGAACAAGTTTTCTAGATGCGGCATCAAGGATTTACCGCCACTAAGGAGTCGAAGCGGAATGGGTTACGCTGGACTTCACTGGAGTTTCTCCAATAGGCCTATGAAACACTGCGGCAGTCGTACAAGCAGGTATTAACCTAAATATTAATATCTTTTTTTCCTTAAATCTGTAACTTTCCTCAATTCTTTATTTGCGTTGAATCCTACATTTCTGATCTTTCAAATTATTAAAAGCCGATGATAATTTTTTTCAACACTGAGATTTGAAATAGCGTGACAACAGGCTCGTTATTGTTATCGTGACAACGCACTCAGAGATCCACATTAGTCACTCAGACCATGCCGCCCTGACGTGGCAGTCACCTGGTAGAATCAAGTAGTTCTCATCCAGGGTACGTGCCTAAGTAAAACTGAAAAGTCGTCAAAGCGTTTTATGTACTTTCCTCAGCTGCAATAGCTCGTAAAAATGTACTCAAAGTGAGTAACCTGTTTTTGTCAACCGCTTAATCTGCGGCAGATATCTGCGTAAAAGCTCGTCGTAACTCACTAGTCAGCGACGCTCCAGATTCCGAAAGAGATGTTTCTTTAGTAGGTACCACGCAGGTACTGCTGGCTCTTAGCATGCCATGTGTCACGCTATACATTTTTGAGGCTGTCTATTAACTCTTAGGCAGAAAGACTTCAGCCGGCCAAATAGGACCTGGCCTTGCACCAAGTTTATTCAGGTCTGAATCGTACAATTCCTTAGCTGGCTCTCCTTTTATTCGCAACGGCATAAAGAATTCTAAACCCAGGCCTATGTACACTATGTATACCTTCAAAGGGATTTCCGGGAGGTAGTTCGTGAAATATGCAACTCCGCTTGGTATCATGAACAAAGTAGGCAGTGACAAGTTTATAACGCCTACGACTCGATTAAAGCTGAAATCCAAGCAAGGTTATATGATATAGAATGTAGGTTCTACGATAATCGCAGACAAACACGTAGGAAGTGTGGACCTGGTCGCTTCAAGCGTATATAACACACACTTGAGAGCCGCATAAACGCTAAACCGTGCACGGTAGAACGTTACCTCCAAGATAGAATATGAAGGAGACGGCCCAGTTTCAACCAGAGTCGGAGATAACTGTTCTTCAATGAAACGTAACCTTGCAAAACTTAGGCGTATTTAACTGCCGCTCTGTATGAGAAGCCGTCGAATCTTATGCAAATTTTTGGAACTGGATAGGCCATCCATACAATAAACGTGTAAGATTTACAAGAAATTTATAGAAAAGCATTTCTCTGATGCATAGCAATACTGCAGTTTCCGAAAGTCGGTCAGATGCTAACTTCATTAGCGCTAAGATGGCTCTAAGCTACTCGCATTCACTAGCAAGTTCGTCTACAGCTCACGAATGCTAGGAAAAGACGGGCAATCTAATTCTCCATTCTGGTGCCTACGAGCATGACCAATTAGCTGCATCTCTTTGACATAAATATATATATAAATCTACGTTCAAGCAGGACGTAGGTTAAAAGTAGACCTTCGATTGATGGAAAAGTACATAACTTTTATCAAAAGGAACAATAAAATACACTGGTTGTACCATCGTATGGATACCTAGATTTTCTTGGAATCTATGTTACATGTTTGCATAGACATGGTTATAAGTGTCCGTAAATGGCGCGAAGTTTATCTCTGTAAATTGTCTAATCATTATGAATGAATTACGATTGTATCCCGTGGCTGTTTTCGTAGACTTGAAAAGGAGCCTCAGGAACTTCCGGTGCAGTAAGACGACTGTTGAGAACTATCTCTCTCTAAAATCTAGTAGAGGACAACTAATAAAGCACGGAGCTATGTGTAATAAAGACAACTTATATGGTCATACAGTTAAATAACTAAGCTTCCATAGCTAGGCTGCGGCGTGTTGAAGTTTGGGGAGCTCGAAGAATTCGTCATTGGAAAGGTGTATTTACGTATAGTCGATCGTTATTGTAAAGCTCTTATTAACCACCAGTGAGATCGTATAGTGTTAAATAAGGTACAGGGCAGACTCTGTTTGAGAAATCGATACATAGAGCGTGATAACTTTAATTTACATCCGTAATGCACACGTTTGCTCAGAGTGCCATATCGTAGCCCCTTTTACGCGGCTGGAGCTCAGCAAAAAAGAAGCAGGTCATTTAACGAGAACTTTTGGATCGATGTTAAAATGATCTTTAGCATCGCTCAGGAAAAGTTTCCTTTTCTAGTTTAAAATTAAGAGCTGCTAAGAACTATATTTTGAATGCAGCTGATATAAACATTTTTTTTTCAAGCTTTTCAGTTTCGAGGACTCTAATAGAAGTGGCAACGTTTGAAGTTAGAGTTGTAAGTTGACAAGCAATCAATGATTCAGCCGTAGAAGTCTAACTCGTGCAGCAGTTATCTCTCGTGCGGTATAATAGCATTCTTTTGCGTTCGGCTCCTGTCAGTCGTAGGTACGGCATATCTGCTCATTTCTATTAACATTAATTGTTACCTTTGCCTGTTTTTGTTGTTCTTCGATTAAGCAATGCCGTACCTTGTGGCTCGCATTGCGTACACGTTCATCTTAGCCTTATACTCCCGTATAATATTCCACGCGTCACACACATGTATGATTTACCTGTCTTTTTGTTTGGTACATAATATTGTTTGGTCCTGAATGATATCCCTTGCATTCAAATCGCAAGGGCTTGAATAACCATGTCTAGGTAGTCAAGGGCACAATATCAAATCCTGTTTCGTTCTTCCTGTCTCTTTACGGCGTTCGAAATCGTTCTGCATATTATACAAACAGGGTAAACGCGTCAAACGGAAACCTATGCGTAGATGGTAGGTACGTAAACGTTGTGAATTCCCACGAAAATATGCGCGCCATATAGAAACAAATTGCGCCCGAAACGGTAAATTCCGGATTAACTAGCACGCTCGTGCTTTGTGCACGCTATTCCGCCATAATTTTTTCGCTCGGCTGACGAACATGCCAAGCTGAATAGAATGTAGAATGTAGGATATCTTTTTCGCTGCAGATCTACGTATGAACGTGTGCTATAGATGAATGCGAATCAATATCCACGCAGTTTATATATATATATATATATATCACGCACGAGACGTATTGCGGTTGCTGCGAAACGTACGACGCCATAGGCTGAGGGCAACGCTGAATAATTACACAAACTAAAAGACTAACGAGGAAAAACGGCCAAAAAGGTGTTTGCCTACTTGCTACCTTCCAGCTGGAGGCTGAATTTTCATTGATATGCTGCTTGATTGAATGCTTTCTTAGATATGTGAGAAACAACAACAGCCAATAGAAGGAAAGCTCTCTGAAAGGAAGATAAACAGACACAGTGCTGTATTGGGCAATTGAAAAAGAAACAACAATCGACTATGATTGTGCCCATGACGACA